AAAAAAAGCTGGAGCTGCAATGCTTATCTCTAACAAAATAAACTTCAAAATAAAGACCATAACAAGAGATAAAGAAGGTCACTACATTAATACTAAAGGGATCAATCCAACAGGAGGAAATAACCCTTATAAATATANCTCTTCAACCCCCCCTTCTCTTTTTTTTTCACAGGTGTGTCTCTTGTTGCCTTTACATTGTGGGGCTTTAATAATTTAATCCAACATGAAGTTCTGTTTTTAATTGGTGACCATTAATTTATTATAATTAATCTTATGTTAAGACTTATTTCATACACCTTAAGACCAGGATTCATGTTTATTGCTTTCTTAACTAACCAAATCTCTATCCTCTCTCCTAAAAGAGAAAAGCTTTAGTCTGCTTTGTTACCATATTGATCTTGTCCCAATCTCTTCAATATTAACAGGAATTTTAGTTTAGGGCTCCTATTTGGCAATATTCGAGTTTTTCTCATTCAAGGTCTTTTTCTTTAATCCTGGAGTATTTTAAACATATTTCTTCAAATATCTTTCCCTCCCCATTTTCCTTTTTTTTTTTTTTTTTTTTGGTCTTTTGACACTCCTGTTATCCAGATATTGGCATTTCTACCTCTGTATCTCTCAGGTTTTCTTTTCCGTTATCTATCTCTTTATTTTTTCCTGCTTCCTCTGGACAGATCAGGTTTCCAACCTAATCTTCTAATTCACTAATTGATTTTTATGCTGTATCCATCTTACTAATTAGATGCTATTTATTTCAAGTATTGCATATAAAGTTATTTCAACTATTGTGTTTTCCATAACCAGTATCCCATTGCTTTTTTCTGCATTATATTGCAAATAATTGTATTTAAGTCCTTCAAAGTACATATTCAAGGTCATTGGAATTCTTCCTCAGCATTTCCCTATCACTCTGGCGGAGAGTAGGCTTTGTTTAGTTTGTTGGCTCTCCTTTGGAATAGTGGTATTCCTGAGAAGTCTAATTATCGTGGCCTATGAGTTCCTGTTTCTGGAGTCATTGGTCTCTAATGTGTATTGGGGACTGGCCAAAGCTCAGGCCGTGGCTTTGTTAATCCTGGTAAGTTTAAGGAGAATTGAGGGAGTAAGTCCCGGGTAAAGATCTAGTCACCACAGAAGTCCCCTGATTTCTCCCTCTGCTGCTACTCTGCCAGGAAAACTTAAACCTGGTTCCCTTATAAATCTTGCAGAGTAAAAGCATTGGGATGAGGCAAACTCCACAGGCTGTAATCCATCAGCCTGTGGGACTGGAGAGGAAGGAAGGGGAGGGATGAATGCCTAACATCACTGCTAAGTACATAGTTGTTTGTTTGCATGAGCTTCTTACTCCTTTAGGGCCTCTGTGCTGCCCTCAGAGCGTCCTATGGACACCGGGACCAGCAATAAGGCCTGTTGCTGCAAGTGAGGTCCCAAAGCAGTGGAGAAGGTAATGTGCAGAACACAATAAAGCTGTTTCTTCCATTCTATTCTTTATGGCCTCTTTTTGCCACTAGCTGTTCCTAGACTCCCAGCCCCTCCTCAAAATACACACTGGTTCAAGAAACCTAGGCCTTTTCAGTTTTGTTTATTTCTTTTTTCATTTCCTGTTTTTTCATTAGTTCGACTCCCCTCTGCTTCTATAGCTTCTCCAGGGTTGTAGGGTCAAGCGAGGATATAGCCCGATTCCCCCTCCCAGGCAGTGGAACAGTGTCCACCTGGCCAGCGGCCACAAGGAGCGTAGCAGCGCCGACCCAAGTGTTTCCCATGACCTTGACGGCTAACAAGCCCCTCCAGGCTCTCTGTCTGTCCTTGGCCTTTCCCAGCATGGGAGCTCCCTCCCTCTCCCCCTCCCCTCTGCTAGGTAAGTCCCTAGCCCACCCTGGCCGGGTGCATCGGGTCTTCCCCAGATGTAAGTAATAAAGGCTATGTCTTTCCCCTCTGGTCCCCCACTTGGTTTTTTTGGACTAGCAAAGAACAGTGTGGCCTCCTGGGGTTGGAGCTCCTACAGGACACGGCCTGGTATCTGGAGAGGGAGTCGGTAGCTATAACTACTTTGCCATCTTGGTTGGCCTTACAGTTCTCAGTGCTTCATTCTCCACCTCTCTTCACCACCTGGTTGAGCTGGTGAATGAATATTTATGGTGCTCACTATCCCATCTATTCAGGACTCAATTCTTGAAAACAGTAAGTGGAAGTCTTACTACAGACAGTGCTAAGAGGAAGTAAGCTAATGTCTCTAGGTCTGCATTGACTGCAGTGTTTCAATGACTGGTGTTCCTGTTGTTGTTGTTGTTCTCAAATTATCTCCATTTAAGGGAAGGCCTCTTAACTTTAAGAACCATAATATCCCTCTTGTGATGACGACATACAGAAGCTACAATGCACAGGCGCATTGGAGGATTGCACTACCCAGAGAAAGGCTTGCCACCCTGTGGCTTAGCCTCCTACCCTGCTGTGCAGAGGTTTAGAAAGTTTGAAGCTGGGTGTATGGTTAGGTGCAGGGCCTCTGTGGGAGAGGCTGGTGGGCTAGGTTTGATCGGCCAGTCTGGCAGGGTTAGACGGAGACGGATTTCCTGATCTATTATGAACGTTTTTGTGGTGTGTTTTTTTGTGTGTTTTTTTGTTTCATTAAAGACATCTCAGCTGGTTTTATTGAATTCCTGTTCAGCACTTCACTAGTAATACTCTGGGATTTTATTTGGAGGCAATTTATCCAAATTAAAATAAGATATTAAGTCTGTCAAAGGAGACAGCGGTGACATGCAGTGGCATTGCTGGCCAGTCGTGGAAGAGCAAGGGCACAGTTTGAATCTCAGTGGGAGGGTTTCTTGGAAAGTTAGGGAGAAGGCATTGCATTTCTGTAAATGTAAAATGAACACCGATCAGTGACCTAAGAGACTGGCTGGCCAAAGTATAAGATAATGGGAAAATGTCTGAAATCTTTCAGAGATGCTTCCCTATCCGTGTGGAGGAAGGTGCGATACTAGAAAATCTTCTTGGCCTAGGTTAGTTTGCAGTTTGAACGGCTGTGTTTCCTCTTCTTCAGTGTTTCATATTATTCAGATAGTAAACAGAGGTGAATTCTATGTCCAGAAGATTAAAAACCATCAGAAGTATAGTTTGTTCTTGATTTTCAAATGTGGCTTTTCTACCTCCCTTTGTCCTCACACGCACATAGTATTACCCTTTTCCTTTCTGCTTTCACTTACTGTTTCCCCAATCTCCCCAACCCCACATGAGTGAAATCAATTTTACTAAGCTTAAGTTAGGGGTGACAGAGCTTGTCTCCTGGCTGGAAGTAACACATGAAATTTGCTTCTGAGTTTACCTGGTTGCTTTTCTAAATGTGGCTTCTGACCTCCCCCCTTCATGAATAATCTTATTTTAAACTCTGAAGTGTTAATTCCTCTGATAAGCAGTTGCACTGTAATGTAGCCCATGGAAGAATCACTCTTTAGACCTTGTTGTCAAGAAAATGAGTCCTTGCTAAGCCTTTACGCAGAGATCTTGTTCTGAGGATGTTCCTTATACCTCGAGCTGCCCCACCCACATGATGAGGAGGAAAGATCACATACAACCACACGTGTCACTAAGTTCTTCTACCCCACCCCCCCCATATCAGTGGTTATGGTTGGAGGATAATGGTTCCCTTAGCAGATTTTGATTGTTACCATTGACCCAGGAAAGAAGCAGTTACCACTGCAAAGAAACTTTGCCATGATAACTACTATTAAGAAATATTTGTTGTACAGCTGAATGAAAGGCAGAGGAAACATCAATGACAATGAATGAAAGAATGAATGAGACAGGTTGGAGCTCCATGATGATGGCATTTGTCGCATCTTTTGTAACATCTTTCCTTTCTCAGGACCCTCCCCATGTGTACCCAAGGCCCTTTTTAGATCACTTTGTAGTAGGGATCAAAGCAAGCAGGCAGCTGACCACCTGCATTCCAGTCGCCCTCTTGAAGAGTCAGATTGAATGGTGTGATGGGAAATTGCTTTTGTTCTTCAAGATCACAAGGCTGTGTTGCCCACTGAAACATACAGGGAAAGATGTTGCCCTTACGCATCCCTTTTGAAAAAGTTCTCCAGATCTCAGGAGACCAGCAAACTTGGATGCTATCGCATAATGTGAAGAACCTACAAATCGCTCCTGTTCCCCTTCATTAGTCCATCGCAGTTCTCGTGCAATCTCATTTTTCCATTTCATGCTTTCCAGATCTGAAAATCTTTCCAATGGTGGCATTTATGTATTCTAATGATATTTAATTAGTTGCCTTTTATCCAGCCTTAGCCTCTCTCTCTCCCAAACTATATTAAAAATCAATGATGGTAACCATTCTAATGATCTGATGTGATGTTGGACGGTTCAGGTCTGGTTCCCAGAATAATGAAAAGAAAGAAAACAACAACAACCAAGAATAATCAATAAAAGGCTATGATCCTTTCTTGCCCTATATTTCTTTGCTGTGCCTCCCAAACTTATACAATATAGACTGACGGTTGTATGTGGTTTTTGTGTATTATCAAGGGTATGAGAGCTATGCCACCGAGTTTGTAGTCAGGTTGAAGACTGAAGATGGTTACACTGACAAAGATAATAACCTTAACGTTTTTGCACAGGGTTTTCTAACGTATGCTTTTGGATTATCTCCCCCACCCCCCGCCTGCAGTGCCTGCCAGATGAGATGGTCTTGGCTCATGACTGAAATGAAAAAGACAATGGAATGAGCAGGAGACGAGATGAATGAATGAAAAGATGAAGAATATATTTCTTTAGAAAAATATGCAAATATACACCGTTTTGCTTATCACATATGATGTATTGATTTATACATATACATAGCATAAGCATTTCACAATTTTGGCACTATGTGCAATTCTAAAATAAGCTATTTTGTTTTCTTCGGCCCCTACTATATTAGCTCAATAACATCTGGAATATTTTAGCAATATATTATCACATTTGTACTAGAGCTGCCTGAAATAGACTTTCTATGTTTGTAAACAAAAATAGAAACACTATTACATAAACACTGTGATTGAAAAAATACCCTCTTTATAACTCTTCCCTTACCTTCAGTAAAGGAGACTTAAGCTACTTCAGTATCCAAAATATTTCTCTGAAAGAATATAATTTCTTGGGGAGTACACTTTATACGTAACCAGAACAAATTAACTTTTTTTGTCTTTCCATAACTAAGTCATTTTTAAAGGCAGTGGCATAAGGTGTCATAGATGAGACTTGAGATTTGTAGGGTTTCAATGTATCTCCTCATTTAGCACACAAATTAAATAATGATACCCCTGATTACTGTCCTGAATTCACAAATTAATTTCAAGTGCCAGTAATGATACTGGTTTGTTCTGGGATTTTTGAAGTTGTTTTATATTGAGGAAGTAAAGAGAGACACGGGAATATCATTTTGGGCTTCAATGAGAAGCTACTTCTATTGCAAATAAATCGGTATATGGTTAAATTTGTAGTGGTTACATATTTTTTTCCTCCTCTGGTTTTGCTAATCATAGCAAATAGAGGTCAACTACACACTGATTTCTAATCAGCCATACTGAGTCTTCCAGGAAAAGACAGAGATCTTGTTAAGCTATGAAGCTGGGTGGAGGCAGTTACATAATGGACTTATATGATGAGTCCTTGAATTACCAGTCTTAAATTTATCTTACTGCTAGATAGCACCCAAGGGCAAGAGGTAATCGGCTTTATAAACTTTGGAGTGGTTTGCTTTATAAATCCTAGAGCTTAGGAAAGTAGAAAACTCTCTTTAAAGAGAATATTCTCTTCCACTAGGAATTCTACTTTTGGCAGTTTTGTGAAAAATTTAGCAAAGAATTTTTCATGACCTCCCAATTTGTAAATGTCAGCAAACAAAGCACATTCAATACGAAGGCCAATTCCTTACAAAAGTTAGTGGACAGGATTATCCAAAACCAGGCTGAGCACACAATACATATAAACCAATTCACAAATTGGCCCGTCTAAGGTTTCGAGCAAACTGACTCAAAATTTTGTTTTTTCATTCAAAGCATTGCATCTTCCTGCCAAGTGCAGGTCTTTGCCCTACATTCGTAATCATCTCTATATTAGAAAGCCGCTTTGTCTGGTAGAGGTCATGTTGCAATTTGAGTGGTTTACACTGTGTGGATGGTAAAACATCTGAGTCACATCAGAATTGATTGAAATAAAAAGATTAAAAATCAGATCCATAGCCAAATACAGAAATATTCTAATTCAAATTTTAGAGTTAAAAATAAAAATCTTGACAGTGATTTTGATTTTTAAAGGTAGAAATGGCTCAAGATTAACAAGGAGCACCCTGTATCTGAACTAGGTCAATTTAATTGTGTTTTTCTTGGACACTCTGCTTGCATTACACCTGCATTTCAGCACTGGATGAAAGATGGAATTTACAAGTGTTGGCAGTGGGAGACTCCATTCCTTAGACCGTCTCCCATAGCAATAGTACCAAGAAGAACATTCTTCAGATTCACTATGGACAAAATCACTTAATAATTCTTCACAAATGATATGTCTGGCTCCTGGGAGGATGGTGATCACTTTAAAAGCATGGTTGGACTTTCTCCCAGGACATGGAGGCTCAGAGATCATGATGTTGTACTTGCTTCACATTTAAGCGCATGACTCCTGCTCGATGACTTCCATAGGGATGGCCTCGGGAACCTCCTCGCCCAGGTTGATGGCGACTTCGGCGTCGTCGTTCTTCGGCGCCTGATGGCAGATGTACACGGGGAGGCCACCTTCCTTGCCATCAGATGCAGCTGCGGCCATGGCCATGAGCATATTGTTGTAATCGGAGCGCACGTCGTGGGCGCCGCCGTTGGGGCGCCGCCGGTAGTTGCGGTTGGGGCTCCCGAAGCGCTGCTCCCATCGGATTTTAAGAAGATTCCACTGGCGCTTTAAGGTGGTTTGGACCTGGAAGAGAAAAGGGAGTCTTGTTTCCATATAATTGTCAGAAAGGGCCCGAGCGAGCTCAGGAGCCCAATCCTTGGAACTTATCAGAGGTTCAAGGCTGCTGGTTGGGTTGAAATTCTGATCTAAGGGCTGGGTGGCACATGCTCTGGCTGTGCAGAGGGGAATTTGCAGATTGGAGCGTGGAGCACATCTCTCCAAACTTGCCTAAGCTACCAAGGGCAGGGTTGCTTGCTACTGGGCAAAGGTTTCTTCTTTAGCTCTTTAAGTCCAATGAATTAAATTAGATTTGGTTTCACACTCAGTAGACGGCATACATGTCATGTTAGGGAGAAAGAGGTGGAAAAGAGTTCATCTGCTACCACCTCTGACAAGGCAGAAGCTTTTGTCTGAACCTCTGCATTATTGGTCATGAAAATATATATGTAAGCCATAGCACAGTTGTGGGTTTTATGATAATGCTGCTGATTTTTCCTTTACCCGACATGGCTGGAGATGGTGGGGTGTGCCGGGTAGAAGGCTGGTGAACAGAGTCACAGTCTGTTCAGAGTAAAATGATCTCTTTCTGTTGAAAGATTGCTAATACGAACTTATCAAACTTGCTTTATAAGTATGATAAACTATATATAAAACACAAGAGGAGGAGAAGATGCTAAAGTCAGGAAGCTCTAAATATGAAAACTACAACCACCACAACGGAAAACACTACCACAGGCAGTACATTTGCTTGTCTAGCTCGATTTTTACAGAAGGATGAAGTTTAATAGTTAAGTCCATCCTTCTTGTCTCCTAAACTCCTTCCTTTTCTCTGTAGATGACCAAAACTAAAAAAGAAGAGGTTATTGCTACAATATCTACTCTATATTTCTGAGAGATTCTATTGCCCAGTATATAGGACAAAATATCTAAAATATCTGCATCGGTTTAGTAATACATCCTCTATCTTGCTGCCAAACTTGAATATAACACTTAAACATTGCGGGGCACACGAAGGGGAGTCTGGAAATAAGATGGCATGAGATGAAGCATGTAATGAGTTGACTGTGGAGAGCCATTTTATCTACTTCATATTTGTATAAATCTGAAAGGAGATATAAACAATAGCTCAGTCTACTCATATCATAAAACTATATGCACGGCTGAGGTTATGTAATGTGTCTGCAGTAAGACAGCTGGAATGTGGCAGAGCCACAATTCCAGGGGAAATCCATGGCTTCTGACCATGCCACTCATTATCCACAGTAGAGAGCTGACCATTAAGTTTAGAACTGAAGTGAAAATAGGACTTGTTTCTTGTGGTCATGGCACAGGCAGGATGACAGTACCAAGTGTTTGAGCGTATGTTCCAAGGACTGCTCTTTGGATTTGAGTCCCAGTTTGTTTGGTCTTTGTTTTTTTCTTTAACTTAGAGTGTTCTTTACATAAAAGGAATCATATACTAATTTAAAGGGCTTCTGGTAAGATTTACTGAGGTTATTTAAATCATCCAGAGTGGTGTTGGTGCATAACAGCAGTAATCCCCTTCTTTTCCCCCTGTTGAGGAATCAGGAAACATACTGGTTCCGCATATTTTAGGGGAAGCAATATCCCCAGACAAAGTTAACTGAAAGGTTCCACAAATTCAGCATTTGTCAAATACCAACATTGTCCTTATAACTAAAACTTGAACAGATATTTAGAAGTATCCAAGGTAGACAGTTTTGTTTAGGTGAGTTTGTAAAAGAACCCAGTAGAACTAAAAAAGGAAGTCTTTGCTTCTCATCTGTCCTTTTAAAAGAATCCCCATTGGAGCACGGTGCATAGCAATTAAGTACCCAGCCCAGCATAAGGCCAAGGGTTTGAAGTCTACTTTAATTTTTAAAATGATTACTAGAGCCCGGCCAGGCGTGGCTCAGCAGTTGAGCGTCAACCTAGGATCCGGGCAATTGGGGTTCGATTTCCAGTCAGGGCACATGCCCGGGTTGAGGGTTTGATCCCCAGTCGGGGCGTGCAGGAGGCAGCCGATCAATGACTCTCTCATTATTGATGTTTCTATCTCTCTCTGCCTCTCTCCTCTCTCTGAAATCAATAAAGATATATTTAAAAAATAAATAAATAAAATAAAATTATTACTAGAGAAATGTTCATAGCCCTCTATAACTGTATTCCAAACTTATAACCTATCCTTTTGTGTGGAGATGGCAATCTGCTTTAATTTGTAAACCATGCATATTAGAACAGGCCCTTAGCGGTTTGGTTTTAATAATTACCCTTTAATAAGGGCAATTATTTCCTACAATGCCACAGATTGAGACTGATTCTGCTTTGATCGAGGAATAAAGACATTAAATCTGGAGGGGAAAAAAAGATTTTCGTTGCTCCTGAAGCATCAGAAATGTTAGGAGTTGCCAAGGGGGATAGATAGTATAACATACCAAGTTTTGAATTACTATATAAACTCATCACTCATTATAAAAGCAATTAATACAGGTCACTTTAGAGTTTTCCCTGATTATTTCAATTTATTTATGGACAACTTTAAAAAATACAGCCCTAGTCTGATGGTTTGGAGACATAATTATTACACCTGGCTCTATTAATAACCCGCTGTGTATGGTTGGTCTATTTGGGCTTAAGATTTTATATATTTATAAGAAGGAAAATAGGGTTGGAATTGAATACTTTTGTTTTGGCCTTTGATTTCCTGGAAAGTTCTCCATAAGCTGCAGTTATGTACTTGAATGGAAGGCAGGGTTTATACCAGGAGTTTTGATCCAATGAATGAAAAGATTTTAAGGTCCGCTCCTTCCCTCCTTCACTTTCTGCCACCACAACTCAACAGATTGCAAAATGAATTTCAGATTAGAAATAGTGATTTTTAAAAACATTTTAAATACACTTAAAAAGTTAAAAAGTAATCACATGCTTTAAATGTTTTTATAAGACTTTTGGAAGCTGGGTCCCTATTATATCTTATTAATTAAGAGCTAAAGGATAGGGATACTTCTGAATATTATTCACAAAGTTGGCACTGATATTTTTTCCCACCTTTTCAAAGGACATGTCAACAATAGCTCTGCTGGTCTTTATCTTACAGATTTTTTGTTGTTGTTAATCTTCACCCAAGGATATTTTTTCCATTGATTCTTTTTTTTTTTAAANACCTTTTCAAAGGACATGTCAACAATAGCTCTGCTGGTCTTTATCTTACAGATTTTTTGTTGTTGTTAATCTTCACCCAAGGATATTTTTTCCATTGATTCTTTTTTTTTTTAAACTATTTTTTTTTTTAAATATATCTTTATTGATTTCAGAGAGAGGAAAGGAGAGGGAGAGAGAGAGATAGAAACATCAATGATGAGAGAGTCATTGATCAAGCCCACAACCTGGGCATGTGCCCTGACCGGGAATCGAACCCCAATCGCCTGGATCCTAGGCCGACGCTCAACCCCTGAGCTACGCCCGCCGGTCTCCACTGATTCTTTTAGAGAAAGTGGAAGGGAGGGAGGGAAAGACGGAGGGAGGAAGGGGGAGAGAGAAAGAGAAACATTGATGTGTGAGTGACACACTGACCAGAGCCAGGGATTGAACCTGCAACCCAGGTATGTGCCCTTGACTGGGAATTGAACACGAGATCCTTTGGTACTCGGGCTGATGCTCTAACCACTGAGAAACCACATCAGAATTTATAAGGTCTTTACTTTGAGGTAATTGGTTATTTGATGATAACAAGGTCAGGGCTTTCTAATTCCCTTTCACGACCTACTTCCCTATGTTTGGAAAGGTTGTCTTGTTTAAAAGACAACAATTAATAGGTATCATCTATTGTAAGGTAAATATTTTTGAAAATATTTAATGACTGTGTTTCTTAAATAACAGTCCCCTGCATCTCCCCCATTCATTAAGTCAAGGCCATTCAATCCTTGGAGGACAGATTAGATTTTGTCTAGAGTAGTGCTCTTGAGAACTTTTAGAAATGCAAATTCTCAGGCCCCATCCCTGTTCTACTGAATAGGAGACTGCTGATAGGCAGTAATTAAAACCTCTACCATCCTTGTACAACTGACATATTAGCCCGCTAGGTCTCTGCTGACACTTAATATTCAACCAGGCAAAGCCCAACCACAGCCCAGTCTCAGACGCAGCTGGAAACCACTCCTAGCATGTATGAGTGCCTTGCCTGTGTACAATGTTGTGAGATGATATGTTCACAGAAGGCCCAGCTCAGGCCCAGATACCTAAATCGATGCGGCTGTGATATTATATTTGACACAGTACACAACTTATACATTATTAGAAATGTCACACTTGTACCTTCTGCCAGCAACAAGATCTTGATTAAAATGGGGATTGTTTCTTTACTTCAAAAAACAAAGATAACATACTTGAATGAACTAGATACATCCAATTGTTAAGAGTACCTCTGGGTTTGCTTTCTTTGCCTGACACTTCGTGGGCAGCATCACTGTTAAGACACAGTAAAGATGGAAGTGTTTTTACAAATGCAAGCAATCTTCTCCTGGTTTCAAGGTGTGCCCCTCCTGAACCTTATTTTTATATTAGCCTCATATTAATGTTATTTTAGATGAAAAATATTTACTTTGTATGCCACCTGAAACAACTCAGAAGGCAAGGATATATATATACACTCACAGAAATTGCTATAAAGATGGGGTGACTTAAGCCCTCCTTATTTATTAGTTTTTACTATTCTTTAAAAAAAAAAAAGGAAGAGATACTTTAATAGCTGGCAACAGAGGGTGACTTCACTTCCAGCCCAGGCCTGCGGTCTAGCCCCTAGCAATAGTAAATGCACAATGTATTTCTGTTGAATAAAGGAAGGAGTTGATGGATGAATGGGTGAAGAGAGGAACAAAATGTACCAGCTAAAAGGTAGAGTAGGAGCAACAATAACCTTGTGATATTGGGGTTGGAGGCGAGCAATTGGTCACAGAGCAGCAAAATATTACCAGTGCTCACTAAATATTGTTCCACTGAAGAAATAATAAACCAATTAAATACCAATGGATTATTAGACAATCTTTCTAATTACTAACAGAAAAATAACAGGTTGATCTCTTAATAAAATGTGATTTGCCTTGCTATAGAATTATTCTTTATAGGAATTAATTTAATATTATGGAAAATGTTTTTACATGGAAAGTTATATGGCATAAAACTACAGAAAGTTTACTAACGAAGAGTTAGGAGAAATCACAGGTATAATACAGGGCAGTGGGGGATTTAGTTCATTCAATTCAGCATCAGGAAATCTGGGTTCTAGTCGTGGTGATGCAACTACGATCATGACATTGGGCAGGTCACGTGATGTTTCTGGAGTTTAGATTTCTCTCCTGAAAGAAGGCAGGTTTCAAATCATGTTCCCTGAAACCCTGGGAGTTCTTCGGTATAAATTTAAGCAGCTCCACTTTTATGTTTTGCAAACTGGGCTCCCAGGCAAGGTTTCATCAGAAGAAAGGGAACTCTGGCTAAAGACCCCTGAAAACACTGGCCATAAGCATCTCTAGATTTAAATATTCAGATAATAAATTAATTCTTTGAGAATCCTTTTGGAGTCTTAACTTCAGGGTGATTTTCAAAATGCTGACTAAGTGACAGGACACTGGCACCAAAGCAACTGAAAAGGAGGCAGCGAGCCAGTGCAGACAGGCTGGACACTGGCTCTGCCCTCGTGAGGAGCTGGGTTTTTTCAGGGAACGGGGCATGACCTCTCTTGCTATGGGAATCCAGAGCAGCTTTCACTATGCTACTCAGGGTGCAGTCCAAGCAAATCAAGACTTAGCTGTCTGTCTGAATAATATCTGCAAGCGTGGAAAGGATTCAGCTTGCACTGGTAGAAAAACACGACCCTGCCAGTCAGGGAATCCTGTAAGGAAAACTCTAGAAGTGAGGCCAAGGGGAAGAGGCCCTTTGCAAACTGTAAAGTGCTGGCTTCATTTATGAGCGGGAGTATAATGTGAAAGGCATGCTTACGTTGTTGTTGTAGAAGCAGTAAATCACCGCAACGAAGAATCCCTGTAAAGAGAAGGAAGGACAGCGTTGACGTTACTTTTGTGTGCATGACATTGTTCAGCCATCAACACAAAGAGACAGCCTGGAGAGGAGCGTTTTGCTATTGTCATAGCAGGTCAAGGCTCGATGAAAAAGCCACTCCCTCTCGGATTCAGTGCTTCGCTACAAGAATATCCCATTAGAATGATAATTTTCTTGTTAGAATAATTCTATTGTTTGTTTAAAAGGGAGCTCTGGTCCACCTGGTTAATAGAGTGTTGCCTTGAACATGGGAGATTTATAGCAGAATGTGCTGATTCGAGTGGATTTGAAAATAATTTTTTGGTACTTAAAAATTTTTAAAACTGAGGTCTTGTAGGGTTTAGTAGAGACAACTTTGCAAGCACGAGTGTTGCAGTGCCTGGCTGTGGGCCTGACTGTGCCCGTGTCCTCATGGTGAGCTAGTGCAGTGCTGGACTCACAGCCAAGTTCATCTCTTAAATAAGGACACGGACCAAGTGACCTCTGAGGTCTTGGTCACTGCTCAGAAGTTCTCTTATGCTTAAGCTTTAATTATCTATAGAAATGGCCAAAGCAATGATTAAATTATTTAAATAATCTCTACACTTATTTTTAGCCCTATTAATTTTGACATCCAGTAGTAGAAAATAAAATTACTTTGAAATTTATAATGGAGACAGTAAAACTTTGGCCTATGAGCCTGCAGCAAACTCACCTCAGCCTTAGGCCCGTCCATGCCCCACCTTGCTTTCAAAATACCTAGCACTATGCTTTCAATGGGGCTACGGATCTGGGGTAGAGTAAATGAGTGGAAACAGGGCAGCCATCCCCACTTTTGTGTGGCAGGCACAGGACAGCTCCTGAGAGCCACTCCCTTTTGTCCCACATAAAGACAGACCTGGATACATTTCCCTTTGTAGTCACTGAACTGTGATGGATGGATTCCTGACACCCCTCTGACAAATGGAGGCGACAGAGCAGAAGCCACGAATGGCTCTGCAGATTCATTATACCTCGTGGCAAAAGCTGATTCAATGTTTACTTATGAAAGAAGGTTCTGAAAATTACTTAGCGGGAGAGTATGCCTGAGTGGGACCAGCGGAGAGCCCTGGGGTTAGCGGGAAAGCAAAAGCAACGAAGTGCCCATTTTCTTCACATTTTTGGCTGGGCCTGTTGACTTGGAGGCTGTATGTTATGAGATTTTTAGAGCTTGGGCTTTAGGGTTAGACCTCCTAACTTTGCCACTAACCAGGAAATTCAACTTTCTTATCTATAAGATAGCCATAATAATGCTTCCCTCACACGTTAAGCACTTAATAAATGGTAACTACAATGGTCTAGTTTTTATTGGACAGTGTGAGAATGCGAGCCATGCCCATTCCCTGGGGTCTGCCTAACATTGCAGGAATGGCCAAACTGGCAGATAGTCCAGGGTCCTGACCTCTCTCAACACAATCAAGGCCCTCAAATGAAGGAGCTGAAAACTGGATTCCAGTTTAAGAAGCATAGAGCTTCCAGCTCGGGGTCCAGCAGAAGCATTTCATACTGATACAAACATCTGCTTCTCTGCCCTGTGTTTTCAGGACATGAGCGACTATGTTGATAGTAACTCATTGCCATGGGTTATGCTGTTCTTCAGAACTCACCTCACTAAAGCAAAAACAAGTATGGCCCTCGAAATACTGGGGGGAGGAAGGAAGGAAAGGTCGCAAGGACGGTGGAGGCAGAAGCTCTGACCTCAGCACCGTGCAATGGCTCAGTCCCTGGACAAACATTTGTCTTCATAAAGATGTTTCTCAAAGCCCATACTCCCCAGTTTCCTTCTTCAGTTTTAGGATTCGAAAAATGGGGAAGCAGGCAGTGAGAGTCCCTTCCAGGTTCCATGTGGTCAAAAGGGTCCTTCTAATCACAGTGAGCCCCAGGAAACTAATCGTCCTGCATCAACTAGCTGAGCAAGGCGTGGAATAAACACACCGGAGGCCTCCTGACCTGGAAATGAATCAGGAAGTGCATCATGTAGTCATAGATGAGGCCAAGAATCCTGGTCTCGGGTCTCCAGGGAAAGACGACAAACTGGACTCCCAGCAGGGGCACCAGGAACAGGGTGGCCCTCACCGCCTTCAGGTACAATTGCACGTCTGGCTGATGGTTTTCCTTCATTTTCTTCACGAGCACACGGACGATGTTGAGCAGAAAGAAGAAGTTGACCTGCAAAGAGATGTTATGAATGAGCAGACCATCCAGGTCAGTACCACCGAGGGGTTCCCACTTTCTTCAATTCTTTATCCAATGTGGGGAGCAGATGTCACCTACACAGGATGGGAGACTGGCTGCCTGGAAGGTCATTCAGTTGCCTCAGCGTTGCTGGGCCACTGAGCACCAGTATAACCAACACCCTTTCAGACCTGAATTAACATTTCCTTTTCTCCCTAAGTGAGAAAATAATTCCCTTTACATGTAAATATATTAAGTTTAACTCTAATGAGCGTGTTTATTCTTTCTTTTGATTTTTACTTTTACAAAGGGGAAACATTTTATTATATCTTGCTTTCTTTTAGATCTTGCTTTCTTGTTTTTTTCATTATGAAGATTTTCCCCACAGCCAGGAGTACTTAATTAATAGTGAAAGGAGGACTGGGATTTTTATTTGTAAAGTTTATGTAGTAGAGACAGCTAACCCAGGTTTCTTTTTCTTTTTTTAAATAGAAGAAAATAACTTCATAGAGGTATAATGCATGTTCAATAAAAAGGAGATTTTAAGTTTATATTCGAGAAGTTTAGGTATGCCCCTGCGTAACAACTACTCCAAACAAGAAAACAGCATTTCCATCACCTCAGAAAGTTTCCTCCTGCCACTTTATATCCCACAACCTCCTCATGCCACCTTAAGAAAAAAGTACATTAGATAGTATGTACTTTTTTGTGCCTGGCTTCTTTGGTTTAACGTACTATCTGTGAGATTCTTCCATGTTGTGTATATTAGCATCTCATTCTTTTTTATTGCCGAAAGTGCTCCATTATATGAATAATACCTGCTATTTGTGCATTCATTTTCCTGCTCATGGAAATAGAATGGTTTCCACAATTTCACTATTGTGAATGTACCTGCTGTGAATATTTGTATACAAGTCTTTGTGTAGACATGTGTTTTCATTTCTCTTAAATAAGTACCCAGGAGTGGAGTTGCCTGTTCACACGGTAAGTGTATGTTTAACTTTGTAAGAAGCTGCCAAACTGTTTTCCATAGAGGTGGCTTTATTTTATGTTCCCTCCAGCACTCTATGAGAATTCCATTTGCTCTTCGCCCTGCCAACACTTGGTACAGTCACTCTCTCTCATAGTAGCCATTCTGGTGGGGCACAATGGTTTTTGGCTGTGGAGATAGTTTTGAGCCGAAGTGTTTTTAGAATTTGATTGATAATTTATTTAAAAATAATTAGAATGATTTCCACTACCTGAAATAGAAATAAATGTTATTGCCCAAAAATTTCAAGAAAAGAGAACTTTAGTAATAATTGTAATAATACTTTAGTAATAATAATTGTTATGGGGCATTGTAAGTATTCAAGACCCACATTAGTGGGTCCTTGTGAGGACAGTTGGGCTCCTAGCTACATCACTACACTGAAAACAGGCAAAAGAAATAAAATTTGCATTGGAAAGGTCAGGAAAGTTAGAAGACAGTCTGGAAGACAGTCTGGAAGACAGTCTGGATGATCAGTAACAAATGGACGCTTCCTCAATGCAGGAGCAGAACATGGTTTCCGACTCAGAAGGTTTTTATTTTTCTCTCTCTTATTTGAACAAAACACTGTGGTTAATGAGAAAAATAATATCTAAATGTTAAATGTGATGGTTTTGAGGCTGACTGACACATAGTAAACCATGGGTATAAATAAAGAGCTGGGTATAGGTTCAGACAGTCATCCTGCCCCCAACCCAACTTCTTACTAGTCATCTAATTTTGGGTGAGTTTCCATGAGTCTTTGGGTCTAGTTTTCCTAATGAGTAAAATGTTCTGATGATGTATGTGTCTACTTTGAAGGCTGCTGTTAGAAACAGCACGGCAATGTATGTGAAGTGCATGAAATACTTTAGGTGCATGATCGCTGGTAGTTAGGCTGATGACTCATGATTTTGTTCACATGTGGATAGTCATCTGTGTTTATCTTTGGATAAAGTGGAAAAGAGTTTTGTTTGGCAGAGCCCAAGGAAAAAAATTGCAGCGGGATTTTATGGTCTCTCACTTTCTCATCAGCGACACCTTTATCATTCCTCAGCCCTTCTCTTTACCTTTAACTAGGAGAATTTAGTTATAGTATTGTTAAAAAAAAAAGAACTATATCATTGTAAGGTGTACAGAAATAAGCTTATGCGCCCCTTCCTAATTTTATTAAATAAAAATGTATTTTTTTCAAATGAAGACTTTCAAATCAAATTGTTCTTCTTATAGATCATCATTAAATTAGGTTCATTTGAAAGTTATAATATATACGCTCTATAGAATCATCTTCAAAGAAATCCCCAGAGATAACATTGTTAATAATAGATTTAAAAAGCAGTTCTTACCACCAAAGCTGCCATGACAGGGCCGTGGATGATGTAGAGCAGATGGGTGTCCACACTCAGCCAGCAGCTGGAAAAAGGGGGGAGAATACATCAGTATGGAGGCATTTTATTTACATTTATTTATTTAACTAAAAACCACCATAGTACTTACTTGTCATTGAAGTACAGCACCCTGGTAATAGCATGGATGGTAGTTGGCACCAATGGGAACCCTAAAAATGTGAAAAAGTACAAATTACACCTGGTTTCTTGGTCAAAAGCTATATAACTACAGTTGCATGGAAAACAGTCAATTTAACATCTCAGTCAAGATATTTCCCTGATGATTTTGCACAAATTACCTTTGGTCAAACCAAGTAAAAATGTTCTCGGTTAGAATACCATGTGCTTTCAGAGAGTTTGGTTAAGTGCACCCAAATAATTGAAAGCTTTTCACATATTACCCAGTGTGATAGGTGTATTATACTAGGACTATTATACCATTGTGATGATGGTGATGCCTGGAGACCAGAAAGCCTTTCATTGTGTGTGAACTGGGCTCTCTTATGGAGAGAAGCTGGTCACCCTGGAGGGAAGTGACCTGGGACAGCATTTGGAAGTGATGGTCTGACTGCTCCGAAAGCCTGGTTGATGTTTGCAGTATTTCTGCTTGGCTTTTGTTTTTCTGTTTATATCATGTGTACTGACTCTGTTCCCTTTCAGTAAGAACACTTCAGAGTAGCTGCAGAACCTTTACCAAGGCAGCTTAGTATTTCCTGACTAGACTTGAAGTGCTAGTGAAAACAACTTTGAATCTGTAAACAATGATAGAGATAGCTCTTATTGCATATTTTTAAAAATAAATTTTCATCTTATAGAAGTAACCTAAAGTTGTGATTTTCATGAGAAAAACAAATCTCTCTTTTTCTCAGATGTACCCATGTACAATAGAATATTATTTAATTTGGTTTATAAATCTGTAGAATGAGTTTTTAAGTTATTATTAAGTTAAGAAATGTGTCTCAGATGTAAATTCGACCTACACACTGATTTTCTGTGAATTATATGCAAAAAGAGAATGCCTGAAAATATTGAGTTTTCACCAAAGAACCACCTCACCTTCTAAACCCATGAAGCATATAATGAATAGGACCATCAATTAAATGTTTGACCTGAAATAATTTTCAGTTTGACTATTTACACCAAACATAATTGTGTTGTATCCACAGAAGTTCTAACATACTATTTTCCCACTTGGATTTAGAGAAATTCACTCTCTGGATTTATTTGGAAATGCTTTTAATTAGACAACAAGAGTGGCATATGGAGATCTCACTCCCATCCCATCATTTTGTAAAGGGGAAAAATATGTTTCTTACGTGATATAGAGAGGAATATAGGCCCCTATATCTGCTAATTCCTAAGCCTCTTTGCCTTCTTCTAGACAAGGTACCTCTTTTTCTGCACTTAAAAAAAAAAAATCCTCAACAGAGGATATGTTTATTGATTTTAGAGAGAGAGAACAGGTGAAAGAGAGAAACATTGATGTGAGAGAGAAGCATCCATCGGTTGCCTCCTGTACGCACCCAAGCTGGGGGTCAAATCCGCAACCTAGGTATGTGCCCTGGCCAGGAATCGAACCTGCAATCTTTTGGTGTAAGGGCTGATGCTCCGACCAACTGAGCCACCTGCCTGGACTCATTACATTCTTTTCGATACAGCTGAACAGCTTGTTTCTGTTTTCCTTTGGACTTTTTATGCATGTTAAGCAGGTGTCTTCATTCATCTGTCTAAGATGATGCCGAAGGGTTTTATAACCAATTCACAAAGTAACGGGATGGAAAGAGGAATATAAATTGTCCCTTCCAGGGCGCCCTCATCTCTGCTGACTGTCACAGGCAAGAATAAATGTACATTCCTTTTCTTCTGTGAAAATGTTTTGAATATGGCAGATAGATGTTCTTAAGTAGTCAAAACTGGTACAAGAAGAATGCCATAAATTTTATTTCAAAAGAAGTAAGTAAAATAGGTCAGACAGAAGTGGCATCTCTGTGTGTGTGGGGGGGTGTGTGTGGTAGGCCTGGGGTGAGATGTTATTTTTGTGTCTTCAATTGGAGGCATCTGACCAGCACCAATCATTACTCTTGGGATGGTCAGAACTGCTACTGGGAGAATTAAATTGTATCCATTTGATTCTTGGCATGACCACCTTTGGAAGAACAGAAATTCTTGAGAGGATGTGTTTGAGGCTGAGAAGGGCAGGGGAAGGAAAAGCTGCGCAAGGCTGGAGCTAAAAGAAAAAAACAGTAAAAGACCATTTTGATTTTTGTATTCTGACTTGTTTTGAGGACAGAGAAGAACAGGAGAACCTAGCACCTGTAGTGGGACCAGTGGATTAGTCAGAAACCTGATTTCTAAGTTCGCTGGATGTTTAAGAAAACAGGATCCTGGGGCTGCTGCTCAGGGGAGAGTGGCACACAAGATGAGGTGGTTTGGGGTGTATTCTAGATGGCTGTCCAGTTTACAAAGACTCCCCTCCCATTTTTACTCCAGACATGTTTGCGTTATGTGACAATATCCCCCTCAATGTCCCTAGCCACAGTTCATTGAGCCATGGCTAACCCCTTAACTTTAGTTGGACTAATCTGATTCTCTTGGCCTGCTATTCAGAATTGGGACTTAAAGAGAAGCATTTAATCTTTCTGTGTAGCTGGAATAGAGAAATGTGAACTCAGGAAAGTCTGGGGTAGGTGGTATTTACCACTAGGGTTGGGGGAGCAGAGGCCTGTGACCTATGGTGTCTAGAGACCAAGAAGGGTTAAAACATGTTCAGAGGAAAGAAGAGACAAAGGTTAGAGAGTGCTTCCTGTTGTCTGGTCCCTCAGTATAAACTTCCAGTAGCCCAGCTGCATTTTATCCTTTGACTTCCACGAGATACTCACATTCTGGTAGTTTCCCTCTTTTTGCTTAAATTAGAACATCTTTTTCTCTGTTACTTGCAACCACAGAGTCATAGCATCATCAGTTCAGTACTGAAACACCCCAGATAGCTGCCCCTTGACCCACCATTATAGGATTATCTCATTGGGTTTGGGTTCTGTGTTTGGTTAAAATCCATGTATTCCTGTTAGGGAGAAGTGTTATGAAAACAAATGTTACCTAAGGCCAGCCCTGGGAGAGACTGTGGAAAAGACTTTGAGCTGCTTATATGACTTCCCAGACACATTCTATACAATTGGTAATAATGTCTGTTGGACAAAGGCTTAAATACAAAGGTTGTTGTTCTTAGACAGCTTTTGGATTATCCTGCATCCTCAGTAAATACTTTCTCTCTTATCAATATTTTTAGGAGCTTCCCCAAATGCTGCGTGAAAGGGCAGGCTCAGCTGAAGATGCTCCACAGGCTCTGCACCAGAAGTCACAGTCATCTCGCCAGTGAATAGCAAAGGCAGTCTTGGCCCTCTGGTTAGGAATCCTCCTCTGGTATGGGAGTTTCATGGGATTTTTAAAGCATAAAGCAGCATGTGTTTTTGTCCCAGAGCCTTTTCGCTCTCACCACCTCACTATCTATCTGCTCCCTTTCCACCAGAGTGAGCTAGACTGTTTGTAGCCCTGGGGGAAGGGGCACAATTCTAAAGAGTCCTCATGGACCTTAGCACCCTACCTTAGTCAATCTACAGAAGCAGTCACAGCTGGAGCAATCCAGCCATAGGTTTTTCAAAGTCACTGTCATGTGCTATGTCAGGTAGGCTCTACTCAGAGGCCCATGCGGTTACGTCTATTGCTCATCTAGACTCCACTTCTTGACCTTCCACTGGAGGAATTCTGCTGATGGGTTGACAGGAAGGAATGCTCTTGAGGATGGGATGTAGGACCAGGGTAAAGCACATACAGAATTCAAAATGTGGAATTCTCCTTTGCTCTTCAAATAGGTGAAAAATAAAACTGAAGAGGGCTTAATCAGGTCTCTCAATCAGGGCGTGTCTTTTGTCCATCCATTAGCTGGGTCACCTGATGACACTCATAATCATATCCCTTCATCTCCATACTGTTCATTAAGTCTGTATAAACTTGTTAAAGGGCTTCAACCAAGCTCTCTTGGAGATTGAACTCCTTCCAGCATCTGTGTCATCATTCCCTAAAGGACCTGGCCCTGACTATTCTCTAAGACCAAGACTAGAAGAAAATTATAAATAAACATACAGAGGTGAAGGTGGCTCAAGACTCAGTTGGAGGAAATACATACCCCAGCCCAAGAGATAATACCACTTCATGTGTTGCTTCTCAGCGAACACGGACACCACAATGAGTGTGTGCAGATAGATCCCTTCACAGAGCATCCAGAAATAATTGCACGACATCATGTACAGGTTGACAAAGTTCAAAACCTTGCAGCTCACCTGTCAGAAAGAAACAGAGACACTCAGTGGAAGACATGGGCAAGGATCTGACTTTGAACAGAGGATAAATGTGAAAGTGAGCCAAAGTATCTGCATTCAGCCCGCATTCAGCTTCCCCAAGCATCTGTTAACACGTGTCGCCCTCTATATCCACAAATCAGGGTCACAGTGCACATAGGTCGTTTGTACTACATATAAACAGCCATCTAGGGGAATGGAAGCTTAGTCCCTAAAATGTTCTTTTCCTGTTACATTTTGGTGACTTCCATAGACTAGACAAATTTATTTTTCTGCAATGAGTGGGAGACCCATAATTTTTTAGAGCAGCCAAGGATTTGTCACATGACTTTTACAGCCCCTTTTCTATAGGCAATGAGGTGAATAACCCAGAAATTGTTAATGCTGCTCCTGAAGTTCATTGATATGTTGGTGATCTCTTTAGCCACAAAGAGGAGAAAACTAGGTGATATACATAGATCCAGGAGCTATGCTGAACCCAACTGATGACTCCTGCTTTGGCTACTTGCTGGCCTTCTAGTGCTGATAACCCTAACCATCAAAGAGCGTGAGCTTCATGTTCCAGCAGTCACAATGTAATGGGAAACGTCCTGACTGATCCACATGCATACTAAAACCTCACGAGGAGGATTATAGAACTTTATGTCAAGATGCTAGTGCAGTCGGTAAACTAAGGGGCAGAAAGGTTCTGCTATCAACTTGAAAAGTGTCAATGTGTACATTCTTTAAAGCCAGCCGAATGAAGGGGGGAAATCCCCCAGCCAGAAAGTCAGCATTAACTAATTTTGGAGGGAAGTACTGAGTTTCTCCAGAGGAATCTAAAGGTATAACATTTTCAATTAAATGTGAGCCTGTCACATGCAAGGCAATCCTCAGCTGATCACTGATAAAGCCTTAGAGAAAATGAATTGAATCTCTGCGACTGTAGGCATGATTCAGTGTGTTTGGGGCAAGGAGGGGGAAGCACTGGAGAAAAAAGTCCCTCATGAGATGAGTACATTGGAAGGTGACCCAGAAATTGGCAAAGGAAGCGTTCTGGAAATGTCCAGCAAACAAAACTACAGTACACAGAAAAGCAGGACACACACAGGGTGGAAAAGGGAGTCTGTTAGCAATGCGGCAGGGGAACATAAATTAACAGCTTGCTACGCTCAAAGGTCTTTCTCTATATGGTGTAACAAGCGTATTATATCACTCTTCTCTGGGGAGTCTCAGGCCATGACTGCTTTAGTTTGATAGCCTCAGACCACAGTCCTTTTGATTATTTGCGATTTACAAACCTCTGGGTATTGCCCGCATTCTGCTTTTACACTTAGTCCCGTTTGTATTGAAGCAGTATTTTACAAATGCTCTGCGTTCCCACATCTCCTACACTGTGTAACACAGAAATGAAACCGGGTGTCATAGTCAGAAAATGACAAGGGCTTCAGGCCTAATGACAATGGTAACAACTGTAATATAAATAATACTAGTTAACAATGGAGCGTTGTTATGCGCCAGGCCCTGTTTTGTGGATTTTGAAGGAGCTACTGTTACCTCCACTTCACACATTAGGAAACTGAGGCACAATGAGGTTAGGTAACTTGCTCAAGATTACAGAATGAACTGTAAGGGAGTAGAAGAGCTGGGATCTGAGATCCTATAGTTCAGCAAGAACAGTGCTACAGCGTTTGGAGCAATCCAGCGAAGCACAGCAAATACCAGAATGACTGTTGCTCTGTAGCTAGTTCCAGCAATGAACCAACATACCCCAAAGGAGTGCACGAAACTCTTTGTATCTCAACTGGAAGCTTTTTGAGAATGAAAACAAATCTATAAGAAGTTCTGTACTGAATTCATGATAGTCTTTTCAAAGCAGTGGAAACCAGCTGCAGATGTTGAGATGAAGACTCAATACATAAACCATGCCACAGGACACCATTTGTAAGCCACGCTTTCCTGCGTAGAAGTAGCACCCAGATCAACCACACAAGGGAAACTGAGCATTGGGTTGAGGCCTGGGGCCATTTTAGGAATAAACTCTTCAAATCCGTATATGAGAGAGTTCAATTTTAAGTAATACAATTTAGAAAGAATAAAGAAGACCTCTCTATTTTTCTGCACCGTATGATCTTGGTTGAAATACCGTTTATTGACTCTGACATGTGAGTAACGTGAAGTAGCCTCAATGACCAGGGTGGGATGCTTCATCCCATGGCCACATTTTGGAATTATTCCCATGGCATTAGCCCTCAAATCCATTCTGCTTTTTCATTCTCTATCTAATTTCTCCCACGGCCTACCAAATGGATAATTCCAATCTGGTTTTATCTGCCATTGATCTCTCATCTCAAAAACTCTGCTGTCCCTGTCCCCGCCCTCACATTCCTATACTATCCCTGGCTCCAGCAGCCTCTGGGTTGGGTGGGAGGAGTCCAGTGTCCACCCTGGGTTTCCTGGGTCTCTCGTGCTTCAGCCCTGAGCATCCATTCTGAGCTGATCGTCCTGTGACTAGGATGAGGTTCTGACAGTTTGGTGGCTCAAGTGTCCTGAAGCAATGAGAATGGGAAGAAACTCACTTTGTTTTTCAGAGCTTGCAACTCATTTGACTTGTCTTATAAAGGAGGCTGTAGAAAATGTGACTTGATTGTTTTGGCTTTTGAGGTGCAAAGTGCTCAGGTTCTCAGTAAAAACTAATAATCTCCCTGTATTGTCCCCTTCAGACACAGATAAAAAGTTCAGAGAGGCATTTCTTTCCAGAAAATGACAAGTGTGCCACCAGCTTCCTTTAGATGCAGCGAGAACAATAAGTTTAATTCTGCCTCCTGACTCTCCACATGAAGAAATAAGCAGATAGATCAAGAAAATGAAATTTTAGATATTATGGAAATGAAATGCTCCAATGACACGGATGACAATGGGCAATTTTCACGTCACTCAGTAAACTGAGGATCTATTCAGCCCTTATTTATGTCACCAATTATTCTGAGTTTAACTTAAAAAAAAATTGCAAAGGAGTAAGATTCTCACACTTGATGTTATAGGAGAGAATCTACTTAACTAAAAAGTTCCAGGGGAAGAAACTGGCTACTTTGATGGGCAGGGACCATGAACCCACAGAGGAGTGAGAACAGTGCTCTATTTTGCTCCTGGTAAACTCTCATAGAAGTAGTGTGACATTTGGGATGATGCAGCCACCTTTTACAAGAAATAACTTTCTTTTTAAAATATAATCCCCATGGACACTGGGAAGAAACATCTTTTTGCCTCTTAACTGCTGACTCAGTGACCTGAGCATTGGGTCAAAATGAAAAAATAATCCATAACTCTGTCTTTAATTTGCTTAGGAGAGAAAGTATCTTTAAAAATTATACATTCTGCTGTATTTTAAAGTAGACATCTGCCTGAATCACAGATAGATGAACTGCTGATGGACCTGCTTTTCTTTAATTATGACTGTGGTTAAGTTTTTCATGTTAGCTGCAATTTCAGTATTTGTAGACTGACAATGTCTAATAACTTCAATTTCTAAAATAATTTTTTGCTTTTATTTTTGGTCTCTTTTGGGGGTTTTCTTTGCTGTTGTCACTCTTCTTGGCTATGGAGAACCTTAACCTAATGTTTTCTGGAATGTCAGTTTTTCAAGAATAATTCAATATTTCAAATAATTCATTTAAAGTAAAATTTTAAATATGTAATTTTGCATGTGACTTAATTTATTAATGGCATGATTATCATTGTCTGGATGCTATTCTGCCTGTCTTTTTAGAGGTAGAGAACTTTACTCCTAGGAAAGGTGGAATTTCCCCAGTTGAGGCTTTCCTAGTTTTTGTTTATCCTCTGTATATACAAATATATTACAACAAGAAACATTTCTTCTCTCTTGATGCCTGAACTTATAGTTTCAACTGCAATTCACTTTAACAAATGTTTGAATGTGAAGAGATAATTAATAAATTTGGCTTCTGTGAACACAGCTATGGCAGAATATTCATTTTAAAAAGAAGGTACAACATGAATTTCAAGACCTGTGTCCCTCTTGGAAATAATAAATAAGGAGTTTCAAGAATGTATAACATATAAGGCATGTCTACTTGAGGGTTCTTTCTTGCCCTTGAACTAATTTTGTTTGCCTAGAAGGAGAAGTCCTGTGCTGCTTGTATATGGAAGGTTAGATACGCGATTTAACAAAATCTCACACACACACTTTGAAACAGGTAAACAAATGACTTAACCCCACACGCATGGTCGCATGGCACATTGCTAGGGATTGTGAAGGGAATGTCATAAATGGATATTTTCACAAAATGATATGAATTTAGTTCATCCTAAAGACTAAAATTTAAGTGTTGGGCACTAAAAAAAACAATCGATTGAATTAAATTAAATTCTACCTTTCAAGGGTTTGACAGTTTTTTCCAGGAAGTTTGCTTTGCATAGCTAAAAATAACAAGTCCTCTGAACAGTATATTAACTTGAGAGAATCAAGTGCTAGTCATGTCATAAAGATAAGTTTCTCTCCTGTTTTTCCAACTTAGGTCACGCTGAAGATGTCTAACAAATGCGGGAGAGCCACTTCACTCCTTCACACCCAGAAGAAAACTTGCTGTGCATCTCTCTGGCTCCCCTACCCGCACACTTACGTTCTCCCAGGAAATCAGCTCCACAGTGGCTGAGCCAGGTCCCTAGACACCTGCTTACAGGGTGTATTAAAGGTTTCTAGGCAATGGGAGAGCTGCAAGGCAGAGCTGAGCTGACTTGGTGGCCTGGAGGCAGCCTGTATGCAATGCTTGGAGGGGCACATAGGCACATCTGCCCCTAAAGTATCCTATGAAAGTGAAAATATCCAGCAATAACTCATGAGACCATTAAGAGCAACTAGAGTAACAGTGCTTGGGGAAGCCCTGCGCACAGACCTAGGAAGTTAGCCACAGGGTAAGGGTTAGCAGCAACCCTGTGAGCCACTGCTTGCCATTTTATGCCCTTGGGAATTTTTAAAAGCTTTACGGAACTCCAAGACAATCTCTTGGAAATAAGTGGGACAGTATTTATTATTTTCATTTAATGGATAAGATGAAATGACCTCTATAATTCAATAGCGAGCTCAGAAAAATCCTGAATTTAGACTATTTCAGGAAGATAACAGGTTTAGTACAGTTTCACAATGGACGAGAGGCCCCCTTCACTCTAACAGGCAGAGAGTGGGCTGGTGCTAGGACATGTGGGTGTGAGGCCCCCACAAGAGAGATGAGAGTCTATTCACAAACTTATAATACCTCATCATTTGATTGAGCACTGCTCTCAGGGTTGATTATTTAATGATCTAATTGCCATTTCCTGGCCTACTTTGTACAGACAATAAGTTTTTCAGGGTTTTCACACTTAATGAGAAATGGGAAGCCAAAACTTTGAGTCTTCTCTGTTGAGAGATGCTTCATTGCTTCTACATCTGTAGAACTTAGTGGGGGTCAACTTCCCTAATTAAATGTAGTGTCCATGTCCAGTTATGGACAGTCATCACTTTGGAATGGCTGAGCCCATTGTTCAAGAATACATCTTCCTAAAGAAATAAATAAGACAATCAAAAACACCATNTAAAGAAATAAATAAGACAATCAAAAGCACCACGTAGTATAGAAGAGAGAGGATGGGCTTTTGGGTTCGAATCCCAATTCTACCTACAGTACAGAAGACATGAACCTTTACTGTGCCTCAGTTTACTCAGCTAATAATGGGGATAATATCCACCCTCCACCGGGGCCTGATGAGAGTTAAATGAAATGAGATTACTTTTATTAAAATCAGTTGACATTAAAAAAGAAAACTCATCAAGTTAAGCCCACTGGGTCTCATTCTGCAGGTAAGACAGGACTCTGTCACCGATAACCGATGTCATGATGTCATGGTTTTAGAAGATGGACCAAAATTCCTTTCGCATGCAGTCACACCATGGATCCATTAGAAGTCAAATTAAGCTGCTTTCCCATGCCATGTCACTGTCACACAGGATGCGTGCTCTGGGCAGATTTCATACATTTTTGTCATTGGGTTGGCAGAGCTATCAAATGCCAGTTTTGAAAGATGAGGCTATCTACAGAGGCTTGCATAACACAGGTAAGCAGAGAAACAAAGGAAATCGTCCCTCGGCCATTCATTTTGTGCTAGACAGCTTCTGTCTGCGCTTCCGAATGCACTCTCCACCCTGCTCCCACTGCTCTGGGTCCAGAGAAACGGATCCCTACATCTCCATCAGGGCTTCCTTGCCTTCTGGTTTCTGGTTGAGCTCAGTTAATGGGGACCATGAGCAGAGATTGGGAGATGAGAGTGAGTGAATTAGGGGTAAGGAAACCTTCTTCGAGTCATGCAGATATAGAACATGATAGTATTTAGATGGCTTACTAGAGGCAATGTATAGCTATTCATAGCTGAGGTGACTGGTCCAAGCCCAGCCTGATGCCAGAATGCTGAGGGGATTGATATTTAGGCACACTTGTGACCCATCAGTGACACACTGGGCCAGTGGGGAAGCATGGCCCTGGTACACCTAGTATTGTCTATGTCACAAGGTGTGCTCAGTAAACTTCCCGTAGATGTTTATAAATTTTTGATTAGTAGTAAAAAATCTCACAATGTTGTGTAATTCTTATTTGGTTATGACTGAATTATTCGCAGCCCTTTATAATAGCATATAACAATTACTTCCAATAACCACACAGAAATGATAAGCCTTGCTTCATGCAAAACCCAACTGTAAAACTGAATATGATTACACATGTAAAGAGCTGCTTGAGTCAAACAATAACACCATGTTCACCATTTACAAATACCACATCTTTAAAAATAAAATCAAAAGCAAATAATGCAGTGCTCACCGGATTTGAGTTCACAAACTTTCCGTTGGGGACCACTTGGATTAGGTGGATAAGAATAGTAATAGAATTCAGAATGTAAGTCAGAAACATGTGCTTGTGTATACTGACTCTCTGGCAGCCAAGGTTCCTGAAAGAAAGAGGCACAGCGTCAACCAGTGCCAAAATGTTGAGGCACCTGGGCAAACCCACAAACATCAATATTCCTTTACTCAGTAACAGAGAGAACATATTGAGGTGAGGCTGGTCCCATCTCTAAGACTCCTTATACTTTTCTGTCTGATATTTATTTATTTATTTAGGCTTTAAAAAACAAATTTATTATAAAATGGGAAAAAAACCCATAATTTATAGTAAAATATAAAAGAGATAGAACACCAGGGATTGTTAAGTAATTAATAGCTGTTATTAATTCTGTGATTTAACAAACTTTGGCCCCCAAATACCTTATATATTTAACTTTTTAGAACAGAAAGGGACATCTATAATTAACTGCTTTCTCCTTTAAGGCAGCCACCAGCCACATGTGGCTATCGAGCACTTGAAATGCAAACAGTCCAAATTGAGATGCGCTGTAAATGTGAAATACGCTCTAAATGCTGAAGAACACATAATAATAAAAAATGCAAACTAACAGTTTTCCAGTCATGGCAGCTCATAGTTTTCAGTCCTCAGACGGCTTCGTACAAGTGAAAGAATGTGTGATAAAAATCACTTTTAATTATAACAAAAGTCATTGAGAGAACTCTTGTCAGAGAAACCATTAAGGTGTGGAGTGTGCTTCAGATGAAAAGTCGACTATTTATTGATGTAACCAGGCAGAAATTGTGTGGCAAATGGGATAATAGAGCATGAAGTCAGAACCAAGGTGGCCTGGGACAAAGTACTAAATCCATGTCCTTGACCCATTGGTCTCCCATCTGCCTTCTCTTCTGACATTTCTTCTAACATCTTTTTACTTCTTATATTCCAACTGGAATCAACTTTGTGGCTCCTACTTTTCACATCCTCCTGATGGAGGAGCTCAGACACAGACAAAGAATTTTAAATAGGCTCAAATGAGGGTACTGTGGTTGGCTCTGATGGTACTTATCCTTGTTGGTATAGCCATGTCCCACCTTTTGGGTGCTAAGAAATTTGTTGGATCTTTTCTATTCCTTTGTCTTCCACTTCTTATGCTTGGGATATGGATTGTGTGAATGTTCACAGAAATAAACATTAAATATCCTACTTCACTTTTTGATGCAAATGAAGAGAGACTGTAGAATGGCTATAACAAATTGGGATGATGCTCTTAAATAAATATAAATCTTGTATTTACCATATTTGATCCAGTTAAAAAATGTTTAGCATCATGTGAAAATTTAAGGCATTCAGTTAATGATGCTAAAGATGAATCATAGTAACTATCCCTAAAAAACCTTAATGTAATAAAGCTAGAATCCCAGGAATTTTGAAAAGAATATTCTGAGGAAAGATGAAATATAAAGATGGCCTAGGTTTACTTACAATGCTTTTCCTCTATTTCCAAATCAAAGAAAAATGTGTTGTCAATGATCTGTAGTAAAAAGTAAGTTTAAGTAATGGGGTCATGTGTTAGAGCACATTTTGGCTACCTTCCTATATATCCAGAGAAACCATTCAATCAATGGCACCAAAGATACCCTCCTTTCTACCAACCCACCCTTGACAGACAGGACACGAGATAACTCTTGGTCATATCTCGGCATACTGTTCACTAGTAGAACAGCAGTAATAGGAAAAGAAGCGAAAATTAAGATTGAAAGGGAGCTCCTTAAGGATAAACATTTTGTGCTAAACCCTTGTCAGATGGAAAAGATGTACCGTATATTGCATGTACGGCAAGCAACCTAGGTATGTGCCGGACCAGGAATTTGGAATCGAACCCACAACCCTTTTGATGTAGAGGAAGATGCTCCAACCCACTGAGCCAGTTGGCCGGGAATCATATTTTAAGGCTAAAGTGAAATGTCGCATTCATGATTTTAGTTTACCTGGTGCAAATCTTTCACACTAAATATTTTGTTTTAAGTTATTAGTACAGTATATGTAGATGTATGTGTATGCTTTATGAGAGCTTTTGGTTGCATAGAAAGCATTTAATTTTTGTCTTAAGTTTTGCAGATTGCATAAATCAATTGGCTATCCTAGGACACAGAAGAACAGTATTCACTTCTTTATAAGAATGTCATTATAGTCACATTAGAAGCAAGCAAGGGAAGTAGCAAATAAGGAAGCAAGTAAAAGCTGTTATGAAATTACTGATGCCTAGGAAAATATGCACTTGGAATAATTGTTGCGATCCGTGAATTTATTGCAAACTTGCTTAAAAACTGTCAGGAAACAAACACAAAAAATGTCCACTTCTGTGACTTCTCAAGCCAATCTTCCCTAAGGGTACCTTTATCTTAACTTTCTTGTGAATATTTACTTTTGACATCTAGTAGCGAGAAGTCTTGCTGAACTAATTTGATGTTTCCATGTAATCCATGGGATTGCTCCTATTTTTCCTAAAATGGTCCTAAACCAAATACCATTCTTCAATATTAAACCAGTGGACTAGCAGTAACCTGTATACCATCCTGAACATTATTTTAACTCTGCCACTTTTGTACAGTTAAGATCTATAGTATTGCCTTTTCTATAATTTAAATCACTGAAATTTTTTTATCTTGAAGAGGGCACAGAAGCCCAATTTTCTTCTTTAAAATAAAAAGACTACATACATTTCTACATTTATTTTCTCATAGCAGAGAAAGCATGATTCTTATTTGTTTCAAGGTTCCATAGCCCTGCCTGTTACCTTCCCCAGCATGCTCAGAATAAAATCACATAAAGATTAGAGGCATGTCTTGATCTCATTCTGAGTAATATCCCAGGATTTTAGCAGCAAAATACTGGCAGTCCACAGCCTCCCTTATATTCAGTAACTTTAAGTTCCTCTGCAGGCCTTCTTAGCCTGCTGGCTTGAGAAGGACTCTTACAGGGCTATTCCTTTTTATAGGCCCTGTACGGCACATTTTGTGACTTTAGAGTGTGATTACAATGGGATGATTATGAATGAAGCATTAGTGTCAGAAGTGGAGCTGGATGTAACTTCTCATTTTGGTTTCATGAAAGTTTTATAAAATTGATTGGATTTTGGAAAGGAACGCAACCCTGGGACAGTAGAATTCTGCAAGGGAGTGATGATTATTTTTTGCTCAGGTTTCACAGAGATGATGCCAGTTAAGTGTATAAATAATAAAACCTTCCAGTGTGATGCGCGGTAAAGACCATAAGGGTAATGTTGGGTACTGTATTTAAAAATTTTGGGAAAATGCTGCTAACTAAAATCCAGTGATAAATCAGAATTACTTTTTGTTTTTCACAATCACTTTCAATACTTCTGAAATACAAATGTAAAGAAAAAATGTGAAAAATGTAAAGAATCAGAAACACACTTTAATTATAAGAAAATGGTGCCCTTGATACCTTTAGTTTGGGTAGGTTTACGATAAGATTAAGAACATGTATGAAAGTCAGATATGACTTCTTTTGGATTTGAATATTTAGCATCTTAGCATGTGTTTTTTTCATACCCTATTTATTTCTTGTTGTGTGTGCTCTGGAGCACCAGCTATTTTATGTCTTCCCATTATTATATTCATAGTATAAGTCAATAAGACTTGTTTTCCCCCCCAAATTTATGTTGTTTTGGTAGGTTCTTGAAATTGAGACAAGAAGACAAAAATCAGATGGTTCCTAGACAATCTGCCCCCACATTTGATCTCAAGGGTTTGAACAGATTGATTTTGTCTTGGGACTAACTGGAGTTGAGGAATACTTTACTTTGCCCATGTGCTGCACTCTTCACCATTCATTTTCAGTGGCTTAACATAGAAATGATCGTTAGAACATATTTTCTTTGCTGGTTTGGCTTTTACATCTCATCACTTATTAAAATGGCTGGAGAAATAAATAACTAAGAAATTCCCCTTGACATTTTTAACCTTTAAAGTCCTGAATACATTTATTAGTTGCACCATTACAAATTTGGGTGCTTTTCATTCAGTTTTCTTTTGGTTATATTAAAACATTTCACACAATACTTTTAGTGACAGATTTTTTCATCAGAGTTGTATGGCAGCCATGATGATGTATTTATTCACCATGGTCAGGTGCAGCTGAAAAATGGACAGACATTCCAAGATTAATCATGCTACGTGTTTACTATATCCTGATCATTGGAATTGAAAATACTCTTTTATTACAATTCTAGTACTTAATCCCTCATGTCTTGTTGCTTTGTTTATGTATTTCTCCTGTGAAATTATATATGGAAGGAGCTCATTCTCTGTTATTATTTGCTCTCCAGTTAACAAAAAATTGCTATTCAGTAATGTTGCTAGATCAATATAAGAATATTGACTACATAAGATACAGACATAATATAATACATAATTATGATATAAAATATAGGCAAAGATTGAAAAAGAATGAGAATAATAATGGTTGTGTTAAGGGTGGGTTCCCAGGTGCTTCTCCCCTTGGTTTAATTTTCTTTAGTGTTATCATAACATGTTAACAAAAATCAAATTGAGATTCTATTATTCTACTTATGAATCACTATATATTTAATTACATATCACATCCCTAAAGTATGAAGGATTATTTGTAGTTTAGGCTATGAAGGAGCTTTTCTTCATCATTTGTATAATTAGTGGAAGGAGACCCCATGGTAAAATAGAAGTCAGAACTCTCATGAAAGGGTAATGCAGTGCCTCCTGCCTTTGATTTCAATAAATTACACTAAAATTAAGATATGTTTTTAGGGCCAAATTTAACATATACTACTATCTCACATACATTATATAGTCTTTCCTGAAAATACAGCATCAGAATCAATGTTTGAAATTCTCCATTATTGTGAAATCAGCATCTATAGCAGCTTAATCAGTTTGCCATGGATAATGCAATCAAGTGTATATAGACACAGTGTCAGAATAGAAACCGTCATTGAAATTTTATCCCTTACACCATTTTAAAAAATATTTGCAATTATGAATGCTAGGTTTGGAAGGGCAAAAAATTGACACTTCACAATAGCCATCTTCTTCCAGAGATGCTCCCTGACCCTGGCTGGGCGAGACAAAGCCAGGAGGGAGACTTGCCTTCCTTTTCTGGGCAGGCACTATCACGGCCTCACCAGGCCCACTTCTCTTCTGCCAAATCCGCTTGTGACACAGCTCATCACTAGGCAGGGTGCATGTGAACTTGTGGCCATGACCTCCATATTTTAGAGTGGGGGTAAAAGGGGAAAGATCTTTTAGAGTGAGGGTTTCCCCTCACTACTTCATGGGGCCTTAGCCATGGTAAACGGAACCCTGACCGTGGTAACAGGGTACTGAGGGCCCCCAGGACCGCTTCATTTTGTGAAGGAGGCATGATGCTTTTAAAGTTGATATGAACTTATTTTATTTTCCTCAAAGGCAGGGTTAAAAGCATATTTTAATAAATATAATTTTTCTTGCTACTTCATGACTCCAATATATCTCTTATGATTTGCAGGTCCCCTTCCCCCGCCCAACATTTACAGAGCTTTCCCTTTATTTCAGTATCTTAAGAAGAAAAAGCAGATACTCTGAGGGTACTTACTTGAAATACACGAAAATCGCCAGCGAAATCGACAGGGTGAAAAGAGAAGTGGAGTGCCCCACGATAGCCACGTAGTACAGAATGTATGCATTCTGGAATAACAGCAATAACAAAAACAGTTACAAACACAAATGCTGTAGGCGAGTAAATGATTGTAGAAAGGAAGATCGATTCTTTTTTTAAATATCAGTGTAAATCAACAACGGTTGCTCTCTTTTAAAAAAACCTACTCAAATTAGAACAAGTATTTCAGATAATTAAACCACATTGAATTATAATAAACTGAGTGAAGAGACTGAATATTATAAGATTAAGAATATGCATGATGTTGTGGGATGAACATAAGACTGGACTTATCAGAGTTGTTCTTTACTCAGAATATTATTATTAAGCCTTTGTGTGACTTTCATAAAGTCAGTCATGTCACCTCTCTAGACCTCCCTAGACCTTACCTATAAAATAATTTGGTTGGGTTAGATGATTTTTAAAGCAATTCTATGCTGCTTATAAGAAGCACTTTTAAATACTGGGATAGAGAAATCTTGAATGTAAAAGGATGAGAAAAGATGACCTAGGTTAACAGTAACCATAAGAAAACCGGTATAATATCACATAGGTGCAGATGTTAAATTAGGAAGATAAAATAATATTAAATTTCTATGCACCTGATAATATAAACTCAAACCATATAAACATAAAGCAAAAATTGACACCTCCTAGTAATCGATGGAACATAGTCAAAAACCAAGCTACAGAAGATTCGAACAACATGATTAACAAATGTTACTAATTCATATAATAAACACTGCACCCAGCATCTGCAGAATCCCATTCTTTTCAAGTGCTGACTCAATATTCGAAGAACATTTATCCACAATGACATATACTAGTCAGTAAAGCCAATCGCAACATATTTCAAATAACTGAAATCTTTTTTTTAAACAATAGGTTTAATCTTTATTGTTGAAAGTATCACAGATGTCCCCTTAAATCTTAAAGAGTATCTTCACTGACCACAATAGTTTAAAAATCATTAACAAAAAGATAACTTAAAAAATACTCTCATATTGTTGAGAATTAAGCAAAACATTCTTAAATGACCATTGGGTCAAAGAACTCCCAATGATATACCCGATCTTTTTAGGTAGAGGGAAGTTTAAAGACTAAAAGGCATAGGTGAAAATGAAGAAGGCTGAACATCAATGAGCTAAATCTCCAGCTACAGGAGTTATATAAGAATTAAACTAAACTCAACGAATGTAAAAGAGATTGTAATGATAAAGAGATTGAATATACAATTGAGTGGAACAACTACGACAAAACTTGATTCTTAAAAAAAACTAATTTCAATTCCCCCTGGAAAGAGTGATCAAGAGAAAAAATTCCAAGAGATGTGAAAATATATGTCAACACAAAGGTTTATAGCAGGATTATGCATAAGACCCAAACAGTGGGAACAACTCCAGTGGCCATCAACTGGTGGTTTATCCGCGGAATGGGATACAGATACATGCTGAACATCGATATGGAAAAAAGACACAGCTGATGCTGAAGTATTCACTTTTCAAAAAAATAAAATGCATGTTCTAAACTTATAATATAGGTTAGCTTCTTGGCAGCGGGTACTTTACAGTTATGCAGACATTTCTACGTGTAAATAATGGCATTCTCACCAAATACTGAAATTTGAAGTAGAACCTACCCTCATTTTTTCAGGAGAGAAGGCATAACACCGACTATAGTTAGACCAGGTTTCATTATTTACGGGTTCTTTATACCAAACCCCGTTTTCATCGCAGGATTTTGAAGCCATTTCTGTTAATGAAACATAACAGTTATTACATTACCATTTCAAAATAACAAGAAGGGGAAATAATAAATTAAGACTTAAAACCATTCCAAAGTGTTAATCACTTTCTAGAACTTCAATGTATCAGTAAATACAGACTACCATGAATCTACTAGATTATAGAGATGTTTTAATTACACAAAATGTTTTAAAATGCTTTGTCTCATTTTAGCTTTGGCAGAGCCCTGTAAAACAGACATTGCTATCTCCATTTTATAAACAGCATGGAGACAGTGAGAAAGGTTCTGGAATTTAAAAAGTCAGTAGATAGTGGGTGAGCTAGGATTGAGTACCAGGTCTTTCAGACTCCAAAGTGCTACCTACACTTTATCTCCTGTTTTTTTAACAGATATTAAACTTACGATTTTCAATAGAACTATGTGAGAAGAGCAAGATATATTTTTCTTCATTTATACCCCATATTTATTTATTGACTTATGAAACTGCAGTTTTTGTTGGTCAAATGATCAAACATTGGCAATTTCATATGGTTAAATTCAATAGAACAAAGGAGTCCAAAACTAAGGGATGTATCAAGAAGTCATTTTTACGCCTCTCAAAATAATTTCATTGAAATCATCTTTCGTCATCTCACATAGAATATATTAGGGATTCACAGATTTAGCTTTCACTATTTACTTTTTTAATAATTTCCTGCATGATAGTGAAACTTGCTGATTCAGCTGGATTGGCATATTAAAGATCTCTACCTTTGCAATAGGCAGGCCCTGTGCTAACAAGCACTTTGTGGAATTATCTTCTAAATGTTAATAATGACCATTTAAAGTAGATGTTGACCTTCCCATTGTAAATGTGAGGAAACTGAGGCTCAGAGAAGTGAGGTAACTCCCCCTTCCCTATCAAGTAGTTAGGCCAGGGACTGAATCCAGGTCTACTTGATTGCAAAGCTATGGCAAAGCTAGTAAACTCTTCATTTAACCTTATAGTCCTGTGGCAAGGTTATTTATACTCCATTCCAGGGACCCAAAGAATCATAAATAATTTTGTTGACTACAATATAGTATTTAAATTCCAACCTAATTAGCTACACAATTGGAAGAAATATTTTGAATTAAATAAAATCAAAATAATGAACAGGTAAACATTAAAATGAATGCGCTTATCAAATTTAATCTGAGTTATTCAGACTTTCTTTAGTTCTCCAAAGTACCTCTGCAATGTATTTATTGCCTGAGAGATTATATAAGAACCGTGAATTGGTATAATATGCAAATAGATTTTAACAGTGTATTTGGAACACTGGACAAGTTTTGATTTTTGATAATTTCTTAGGGAAAATATGTTTGAAGCATTTTCTTTCATTAACAAAGGCAAAGACCTGTCCCATCTATAGATAACTCCCTTATATGTGGCTTTGAGGATTTTTTTTAGCAGAGGGATGTGGAAATCAGAATCACATACTAATATTTGGAGGACACTGTCATTGTTTTAAAGGCTAAGGAAACAACTCATGTTAAAAAAATTACTTAGCTGAACTATCACTGAGAACTGATCATATTTTTTCTATCAGTTTTGGTAAGTCAATCAATATTCAAAGAGCTAGTATAAAAATCTTTTCATCTCTGGCAATTTTTAGATGATATTTATTATTTTTCTTTGTATTACTGAAACAGTATTACCAGACTAATCACAAGATTTAATCTGCAAATCGTAGGTTTGTTTCTGTGTCTGTTTTAACAATTATTTAAAATGGATGTAAAAATATATTTTCAAGCAACACATGAGAATCATCTTTGCTTAATGTAAATCTGTTACAAAGTTAAGTAGAAAATTTTTGAATTGTTCATTTGCTGAGACAGCCATCGGACAAAAGCCATGTAAAGAAGAGAACAACAGAAATGTTTGAAAAAGGGTTAGCACTAACCAGCACAGAAAAATGGTCAATGGTTTTGTTAATGCTGTTTGTCCATGATGACCATTCCAAGCTTACTTGCAATAAAAAAAAAAAAAAAAAAGTGGTTTGCAATGCAGCATTTTATTGTCAGAAAGTGGTTTTATGTTTTATTAAAATTAACATAATTTGGTTTTAACAAAGTTACGTAGCTATGCATGGCAAAATGTAGGGTGTCCCCAAAAATGTATACACAGTGTTTATTAAGATGTATGCACAATGTTCATTAAAATGCAATTCATCTTCATTTAACAGCTATCAGTTCTTAGACTGTGTATACATTTTTGGGGGGACACCCTATATATTATACGGGGGAGAGGTATTCATCCTGAAGGCCTTCCAATCATGGACAGGACCGTAGGAAATAGTATTGCTTTGCTTTGATTTAAGTGTGGAGATAGCCGTTTCCTGTTCGCCTCCATCTGACAAGTTTTCAATATTTGAAGAAAGAATGTGTCTGTCCTGATTTCCTTTCCAGACCAAACATCCCATTTACTCTCACCACACAGCTTGCTGTGCCCTCACGGCCCAGAGCCTCTCTGCATGTGCTCAGATATTGGTATTTCCCTCTAAAATATTCTAAGTTTGGACTGCCCTTACTCTAGATTCACATGGACGAGCTCTTTACAGAATTTTAGGCCCAATCCTCAGAGATTCAAATTTGATTGATCTGAAGAGGTACCAGGCACCAGCATTTTTTAAAGGCTCGTTAATTCCAAAGGGTATCAGGGTTGAGAATCATTGTTCTAAACCATCTTAACTCAATGCCGTTAATGTTGATTAACTGACTCCAGGGGCAGGGCTTTAAGCACCAACTTGTTAAATTTGCTTTTTACACTCTAGGGTATTCCTTCGGACTATCAGCTCTTTTGAATTTCAATAGTTATTCACTCTTTCACATCTACCTGCCTTTTACCAAGCACTTTGTCCAAAATGAAATCTCTGTCATTTCATTACACTGTTTTTGTTTTGTGTATCATCAAGATATAGTTTTGGGTTAATGGTAAAATCCTGAAGAATTTAAGTTTGTTGAATATAGGTATTTTCAAGATGTGCTTTTCTTCTGAAGTGGATTTGCCCCCAAGCTGAGGTAGTTCTATCCAAAAACCAGGCTGAAAAGATGGATTTATGCCTGGAAATCCCTGTTCCGCTGACCAAAAACTTGCCTTTTAGTCAATGATTATAGCCACTTTGGCAAGAGCCCATTGCCACTTTGGAACTGGCCTTGTAGTCTCAATTGCAGAACAGCTCTTTGTGCCAGTCAAGTTACGGCTAATGTGGTTGTCAAACAAGATTAATGAAGCATCGTTTATCAGGAAGAGTCAGTAAAGACCTGAAGGATTACCATCAAATAGCATTTAGTTAGAGTTTACAGGAATGCAGTGCTGATCGGGGCACAGGACTAAGCCCTTTCTTCATGTCCCAATTTTTCCATCAAAATGAGAATTCCCAGAAGTGGCTGGCCTGAACTGGCTTTAACAGTGGGCCCCTGTAATCCCATTTCCATTATCTCTGTCTTACTGGGGTGGAATTTAGAATCTCATCCTTAAAGAAACCACACACAAAAAGCATCTCCCAAATATTGTCTTGGGGATAGGCAAATTTCTCTGCTCTAACTTGGATTCCAGGCAATTTCTTATCTATATTTACCATCTGACTGCCGCTATCTTAACTGATGTCCTCACTTTCAGTCTATGGACAATAACCTCTTGTCATTCATTATCAATGAGTGACACTAACTAGATGGGCTGGTTGGCCCTGAAATGTGGTGCCAATTCTGACTCTAAAAGTCAAAGTTGATTTCCCATAGTCTCTTAAGTGTGACACAAATACTGATTTTTTTTTTTCAAAATGCTATTTCTAGTCCAGACCAGATAATTCCAAGGAGATTCTCCTTTGTCAGGACCCTGACATTCTCCTCACTGACTGGATGTTCTAACTCTCTTCCATGGAACCCTTTTCCAAAGGACACCGAGGGAAGAAGGTGAAGGATGAGCACTGTGTTTAAGATACTTTTTAGTATCTTAATCCCAGGTTTATTTCAGTGGGGTAGATTTTCTATCTAGTTCCTTGGAACAGGACTTTTCTGGCCATGACACCCACAGCCCTGACACCAGCTACAGCTTTCATCCCTCTGGAACCCACCTTGGTCCATGGTCTGTGTCAGCCTCTTCTGATACTATGCTCTGCCTCCCACTGGCACAACTACTTAGCTCCCCGGTTGAGCTTCTTATTGGAACTTTCTTTAATGTTTAACACATTTTCATCTGGGCGGCACATTTAGTCACAAGCAGAACTTTTAAAAATCCTGATGCCTGACAACCCTGTTCTCCAGGCCTATGTGTCTAATCTCTAGACTGGGGCTGTTAGAAAACCTCATATATCTCATATATTCCCTTTCATTGCTCCTGACCACTAACCACTGAGCATATTGGATTCCAGATCTTTAATCTATTTGGATACCTGACAATTCTAAGATACATAACGTCAACCCCCTACCTTCTCACTCAACTTTGCACCTGGTACTCCAAGAATTTATCCTGCCTAAGCATCTAGCCCAGCTTCCAACCACACCAGTGTGACACTAGATTGAAGCTGGTAGGAAAAATGTATCTTCCCTTGAAAGTTCTAAAAATACTTCAATCTGCACAGGTTTGTATGGAGATTTAGAAATACTGTTCGCCAAATGCTTTTCCAAGACTGTTGCACTTACTTATACAGAGAGAGTTAGGTAAGAGTTCAGGAGACTTGGGTTCACTTGTGGTTTTGTGTCAAACATTGTGTGCGTATAAAATAAGGTACAGTAGTCCCCCAACTCATCCATGGCGGGTACATCCTAAGGCCCCCGTGGATGCCTGAAGCCACAGGCAGTGCGGAGCCTTTGCACACCGCGCTTTTTACTGTACATGCATAAAGTTCAACTTACAAATTAGATCAGTAAGAGATTAACAACACTAATTAATAATAAAATAGAATAAAGTAATATACTGTAATAAAAGTTATGTAAATGTCTCTCTCTCTCAAAATGTACTATTGTACTGTACTCAACTTTTCACTTAAGAGAAGCACTTTATGGCTTCCCTTTGGCATATCTGAATTGCCAGCATCACTACTCTTACGTTTTGGGACCATCATTAAGTAAAATAAGGACTGCTTAAACGCAAGCACTGTGAGACCAGGACAGTTGATCTGATAACTAAGATGGCTGTTAAGTGACTTAAAGGGTGGGTAGTGTATGCAGGGTGGATATGCTGGGCAAGGAGATAATTCACTTCTTAGGCAGGGCAGAATGGTGCTGCACAATTGCCAACTTATGAATTATTGCTGGAATTTCCCATTTAATATTTTTGGACTATGGGTAACCGAAACCATGGAAAGGAAAACTTCAGAATGGGG